CTAGGCTCCTGAACACAGCCTAACAAGGTTCTGTGGCCTGGGCCTGCCTATGCCTCCATCTGCATCTGCCACCTTCTGTCTCAGCTGGGCTGCTCAGTCCACAGCATCGCTGTTTCTTTCTTTTTTTATTTTTTGACACAGAGTCTTGCTCTGTCACCCAGGCTGGAGTGCAGTGGCATGATCTCAGCTCACTGCCACCTCCACCTCCCGTGTTCAAGTGATTCTCCTGGCTCAACCTCCCAAGTAGCTGGGACTACGGGTGTGTGACACCACGCCCAGCCAATTTTTGTATTTTTAGTAGAGACGGGGTTTCACCATGTTGGCAAGGATGGTCTCCATCTCTTGACCTCGTGATCTGCCCACCTCAGCCTCCCAAAGTGCTGGGACTACAGGCGTGGGCCACCGTGTCTGGCGTCACAGCAGCTCTGTTTCCAAACACATATAGTTCCATCTCTTCTCTCCCTTTATCCTGGCTACTTTCTACTTCTTTAAAACCATGTGGTGTCTTCTTCTCTAGAAGCCTTATCTGTCCCCTGAGTATCTGCTGAGCACCCTTCCTCTGGGCTCCCACAGTATCCTGTGTATAAATATCTCCCATTGCTGCACTCAGCATTCTGTATCATAATTGCCTGTTTATGTGTCTGTCTTCCTCACAACTCTGAATTCCTTGAATCAAGAGACCGGGTTTAGTCATCTTTCTATTCCCAGCATTTAAGCACATAGTAGATATGCAATAAATGTTGAATGAATGAGTGGCAAGCTGTCTTCGTTCTTCTGAAAATAACAGGGAATGGGGGATCTTTTAGTGACATGCCAACTCAGTGAGAACAGGGGTGAGAGGAGGTGACTTCTTATTTCCATTTCCAGTCTCTGTAAGTCAAGAGAAATGTGTATGTACTGTCAGCTGCCTTTGGTGTGATGAGTCTAGGCTGATAGCACTGTTTTCTCAGAATGTTCCTCTGGGCCCCAAACCAGCTGGGTGTGCATTCCCCTGCAAAAGGTTAGCAGTGTCCGAATGCTGGGCTGCTGCAGCAGTCCTTTCCTCTGTCCTAGTCACCCAGCCTCCTTCTGACCAAAAATAGGGGCCAGGTCAGAGCCCCTGTTGACTGCAACAGCAATCATCAGCCTGGTAATGGTGAGACAAGGCAGGACACGGCCCACCAGCCAATCTGAGGACAAGGCCAGCAGACGCAAGACTCAGATCATGGGTGAAAAATGCCCCAGTCCACCTACAGCTCTGCTAGGAAGTAATCACCACCCAGATCAGGGACGCTTCTGCATTTGTCCCCACCCACCCAATAGACTAAAGCTGCAGCCTTTACAGGTGCCTGTGTGTGGAAGGGAGAGGGGACCCTGGGAAGAGAGGGCGGGAGAGCTCGTATCTGTCCTCTTCACAGCTCAACAGTCCCAAGGAAGGGTTTGCTGGAAGCTGGAGGGCCTGTTCTCACTCAAGATAAGCAGGAGAGGTGGTAACAAATGGAAACCACAGCCTTATCTTGGCCTTCCTTCACCAACGCTCCCACACCCCCCACCACCGTCTGCTCTGTTCAAGAGCTTCCCTCCTCCAAAAGTCCTTCCATTTCTGGGATGTCTCCCCGAGTGGCCTACTGGCCTGCGAGTCCAGGCTCCTGCCCCAGACTATTACAGATGGGCGCAGCCCACCTTTCTCAAGCAACCATCAGAGAACGCCTGAATTTTGTAGCCAACGTGTACTTATGAGATCTGTAATCACAAAATGATTCAAATTATACTTTCAAAACACATAAAAATGACCAAAACTATAAAAAGAAAAGGGCACGTATATATGTGCCCACTCACAACTGACGCAGCTCTAGAGATGGACGGTTATCAGTCTCTCTTAGGAACATCCTTGCAACTCAGGAAGTTCTCACAAATGTCCAACTTAATGCGGCTGCTGTGGCTTTAAAGCTCTTTGCCTCTCATTGTAAGGTAAAGATAAAAGGAGTCTTTCTCTTAACTTCTCTTTTCTTCCCTAGCACACCAGGCAACTTCTAGGTAGAAGCAATACGCCGCACCAGACATCTAAATGAGATGCCATATCTTTCCCCACCCCTTTTTGGAAAGAGCCAATGAGATGTGAGGTCTTGGTCATCCTGGACTGGCAGGCAAGGTAACCCATCTCAGTGCTCCAGAATGAAGAGCCTGAGCTTGATCCTCAATGAGAAGAGGTAGCAGAAAAGAGAACACGTGAATCTCTGGGCTACTCAAGAGGGACAAGAAGGGCAACTTCTAAAACAAGTTATTTTACAGCAGGCAGCCAGTGTAGGTCCAGACTGAGTTATGTGTCCTTTGTGTTGAACAACTACTAGTTATCAGGTAAGTCATAAAGGAACATTCGTAAAATTAGATTCACCACTTGTTTTTTATAGCACTCATTAAGGGACATAAAAGACAATTCTTTTTAGCATTTTGGTGCTGAATTATAAATTCAATTAACTGGACACAGTTAACCTCATAGATCCAGAAATCCTTATATCAAAGAAGCAACTCCCAACTATAAACAGGAAAAAAAAAAAAAGAGGATAAGCTCCTCTCTCTGGCATTCCTAATCCCCCCGCCCTAACTGAGCAGTCTCTCTGCCATCATCACTCACCTCTGCTTTTCCCCTTCACTCTTGCCTTTTTCTCTGCTTTAGGAAAAAAAGTAATTTCAAAATCAGGAAACACACACACACACACACACACACACACAAAGCCACAGCCTGGACAACATGGCAAAACCCCATCTCTACTAAAAATACAAAAATTAGTCAGGTGTGGTGGTGTGTACCTGTAGTCCTAGCTACTTGGGAGGCTGATGTATGAGAATTGCTTCAACCCAGGAGGTGGAGATTGCAGTGAGCCAAAATTGCACCACTGCACTCCAGCCTGGGCAACAGAGCGAGGCCCTGTCTCAAAAAAAAAAAAAAAAAAAAAAAAAACCAACAAAAACAAACAAACAAACAAAAAACAAAACACCAACACCCCTGAAGACTTTGAATCCTTCAGCAAGATACAGAATCTCTCTTCAGCCTCAGTTTACTCCAGGGATAGTAATAGCCATGGGGCTGCTGTGAGAGTTGAATACAACATAAATAATAAGCCTAGCTAAGTACCTGGCAAGTATGCCATAAAAAGTTACTAATATCATTTTCAAAAAAGTTCACAAATAACTATCACAGTTATTTTAATTTTTTTATTGTACTTTAAATTCTGGAGTACATGTGCAGATCATGTAGGGTTGTTGCATAGGTACACACATGGCAATGTGGTTTGCTGCCTCCATTCCCCTGTCACTACATCTGGCATTTCTCCCCATGTTATCCCTCCCGGACCTCCCCACCCCCACACTGTCCCTCCCTTGCCCCCCCTCAACAGACCCCAGTATGTGATGCTCCCCTCCTCGTGCCATGTGTTCTCATTGTTCGACACCCGCCTATGAGTGAGAACATGTGGTGTTTGATTTTCCATTCTTGTGTCAGTTTCCTGAGAATGATGGTTTCCAGATTCATCCATGTCCCTACAAAGGACACAAACTCATCATTTTTTATGACTACATAGTATTCCACGGAGTATATGTGCCATATTTTCCTTGTCCAGTATATCATCGATGGGCGTTTGGGTTGGTTCCAGGTCTTTGCTATTGTAAACAGTGCCACTATGAACATACGTGTGCATATGTCTTTATAATAGAATGATTTATAATCCTTTGGGTATATACCCAGTAACTGGATTGCTGGGTCAAATGGAATTTCTATTTCTAGGTCCTTGAGGAAGGGCCACACTGTCTTCCACAATGGTTGAACTAATTTACACTCCCACCAACAGTGTAAAAGTGTTCCTATTTCTCCATATCCTCTCCAGCATCTGTTGTCTCCAGATTTTTTTAATGATCACCATTCTAACTGGCGTGAGATGGTATCTCAATGTGATTTTGATTTGCACTTCTCTAATAATCAGTGATGATGAGCATTTTTTTCATATGCTTGTTGACCTCATATATGTCTTCTTTTTAAAAATGTCTGTTCATATACTTCGCCCACTTTTGGATGGGTTTGTTCTTTTCTTGTAAATCTGTTTTAGTTCTTTGTAGATTCTGGATATTAGCACTGTGCCAGATGGGTAGATTTCAAAATTTTTTCCTATTCTGTTGGTTGCCAGTTCATTCTAATGATTGTTTCTTTTGCTGTACAGAATCTCTGGAGTTTAATTAAGTCCCATTTGTCTATTTTGACTTTTATTACCAATGCTTTTGGTGTTTTGGTCATGAAGTTCTTGCCTATGCCTATGTCCTGAATGGTTTCGCCCAGGTTTTCTTCTAGGGTTTTTATGGTGTTAGGTCTTATGTTTAAGTCTTTACTCCATCTGGAGTTAATTTTAGTGTAAGGTGTCAGGAAGGGGTCCAGTTTCTGCTTTCTGCATACTGCTAGCCAGTTTTCCCAACACAATTTATTAAACAGGGAATCCTTTCCCCATTGTTTGTTTTTGTCAGGTTTGTCAAAGATCAGATGATTATAGATGTGTGACATTGCCTCCAGGGCCTCTGTTCTGTTCCATTGGTTTATATCTCTGTTTTGGTACCAGTACCATGCTGTTTTGATTACTGTAGCCTTGTAGTATAGTTTGAAATCAGGTAGCGTGATGCCTCTGGCTTTGTTCTTTTTGCTTAGGGTTGTCTTGGCTATGCAGACTCTCTTTTGGTTCCATATGAAGTTTACGGTGGTTTTTTCCAGTTCTATGAAGAAGGTCATAGCTTGATGGGGATAGCGTTGAATCTATAAATTACTTTGGGCAGTATGGCCATTTTCACAATATTGATTCTTCCTAACCATGAGCATGGAATGTTTCTCCATCTGTTTGTGTCCTCTCTTATTTCCTTGAGCAGTGGTTTGTAGTTCTGCTTCAAGAGGTCCTTTACATCCTTTGTTAGTTTTATCCCTAGGTATTTTACTCTCTTAGTGGCAGTTGTGAATGGGAGTTTGCTCTAATTTGGCTCTCTAGTCTGTTATTGGTGTATAGAAATGCTTGTGATTTCTGCACATTGATTTCATATTCTGAGACTTTGCTGAAGTTGCTTACCAGTTTAAGGAGATTTTGGGCTGAGATGACAGGGTCTTCTAAATATACAATCATGTCATCTGCAAATAGAGACAATTTGACTTCCTCTTTTCCTAACTGAATACCCTTTATTTTTTTTTTCTTGCCTAATTGCTCTGGCTAGAACCTCCAGTACTATATTGAATAGGAGTGGTGGGAGAGGGCATCCTTGTCTAGTGCCGGGTTTCAACGGGAATGCTTCCAGTTTTTGCCCATTCAGTGTGATATTGGCTATAGGTGTGTCATAAATAGCTTTTATTATTTTGAGATACAGTCCTTTGATATCTAGTTTATTGAGGGTTTTTAGCATAAAGCCTGTTGAATTTTGTCGAAGGCCTCTGCATCTATTGAGCAAATCATGTGGTTTTGTCTTTGGTTCTGTTTATGTGGTAGATTACATTCATAGGCTTGCGTATGTTGAAACAGCCTTGCATCCCTGGAATGAAGCCTACTTGATCATGATTATCACAGTTATTAATATCATTTTCAAAAACTTCAAGTCCCTTCTCCCCTACTAAATCTTTCCCGGTAATTTAATCAGCACTTATTGAACGTATAATCTGTACCAGGCCCTAAGTTAGGTCTGAGGGATGGAAAGATGTAAGGCACTGTCCCCTTACTATGGGGATCCAGACATGAGACTAAATACTGTGTCCTCGTTAATATAATCCTTCTCTAAAGTCCTCTCCACACACGACCCAGGTTGGCATCTGATTACACAGTGACCTTTTGCTGGTCTCTGGTTGATTTATATACGTCTATATACAGTGTCTGCCCAGCAGATTTATGTCAGAATAGCAGGAAAAGACAAAACAAAACGTGAGCACTGGCATCAGGAAGCTCTGGGTTCTAGCCCAGCTCTACAACTTAAAGAGGCGGAGCAGCAAGTAGTTCAAGTGTGAACTCTGCAGGCATTCACGATGGATCAAAGCCCACTCCACCACTTACTACTGCTGTGTGACTTGAGGCAAGTTACCTAACTCCTCTGTGCCTGTTTCATCTTAAACCAGAATAACAGCAATACCTATCTCTCAGGGATTTTATGTGGATTCAAGGAGATGATGTGTTTAACATGTCTAGTACAACTTAGCTTAAAGCAAATTATACCCCAGAGAAGGCCACCTGTGTCTAGCCTTCTCTGCGGTGGTCCTATCTGGATCCAAGAATGTTCATCTTGGAAAGTTAATATAAGGACCAAATAAAATAGTGTGATGTAGGCACTGGCACAGTGTGTGGCACTCAGTGACTTCAGTGAGAATCCAATCACTGCCAGGGTCTCCTCTCATGAGCAAGAAGCAGGTCTTGCTTCAGACCTTCTTCACAGTGGTGCCCCATCAGTCCAAATGAGCATTCACTAATTTAATTTGAATGGGGATGGAGGGAATGGAAAGAAATGAGGATTTCTAAAGCTGTTCTTTGGAAGACAATTCTTTGTATTGCATTTATTAAATGAGGAGGTGGTGGGATGGGGCAGACAAATAAAAGGATACAGGAAACATGAGTTTTATGTGTCTCCTACAAACACCTATCTCTCAGCAAATGATGTCTCTGCCTGGGTGTCCACCTTGATTCAATGAACTGAGAGTGATGGGCAGAGCATCTCACCAAGGCCTCATGTCACCGAAAGCCTGGGTGAGAGTTAAGAGGGTCGGTGTTTCCCTGCAGCAGCCGGGCCATGGTGGAGCAGCACAGGAGACTGAGGTGTCCTGGCCAGTTGCTGCTCTGGATGGCCCCCTGTGAGCACACAGGGGATTGGGGGAAAGGGGAACAGACAGTCAAGCTTCCATGGACGGGACACTCCTGAGCTACAGAAGGAAGAAACAAAGTCGGCTGTTCGGGACGCCCAGACCATCCAGTAATGAAGGTTTAGGGTGGGGTGCTGGCATTCTCTACCAGGCAGAGGACACAGAGCCTTCCTCTGCAGATATTTAGGAAAGAGACACACAGCAATTCCTCTGGCACATGTGAGCACAGACTTCCTGCTCTGTGGCAGGCGAGGGGGGAGGAGGGATAAGCCAGGTGGTCCCTCGGGGACCCTTCTAGCCTAAAGAATTTAAGAGTGGTTCCCAAGTCCCAAACATCCAGGACTGAACGATGGCAATGACAGCATGACGTTTATCTTCACTGGGCATCCAAAGCAGCTTTGGGAAGCAACTGACATGCTAAAAGGAACACTGGGAAATACAGAGAATCAGAGTCCAGCGCCTGACTGCAACCATGTAGCTGTGTGACTCTATAGCAAAGTTTTTTAACCTGACAAGGCTCAGTTTCTTCATCTATAACAGGAGAAAACTGGAGCAGAGAATCCCAAAGTCCCTTTCTAAATTTGTATGGCTATGTTTAAGGAGAAGGATGACCTCTTCTCTTCCTGCTTTCCCAAGCAGGGTCCACACCACACAGGAGTGGACAAGAACTCCAGGAAACTTTGAAAATGCCTGGGGGAGGGGGAGAGACACAACAAAACCCCTTACTTACTTACTTTCTTTCTTTCAAAGTCACTCCCAGCTTCTTGGGACACAAAAGTATCTGTTAAGGTAAGTTAAACCTTCTCAAGATGAATTTTCCTGCTACTTTTAATTAAAAGTTCTTTAGAATTTAAAGAACACTATTCAGAAAAGCCTGAAAAAAAAAAATTCATTGACACTCCCCCCCTCCCCCTCCCCCTTTTCCCAAGGAAAAGAAAAAGCTGTTTTGTGCACAGCTCGCCTGGTCCACACTGTACAAAAGGAGGTGGGCTGGCGGCAAGACACATGAGATGACCCTTTGACCCTGGACCGCTGACAAGTCCTCAATGGCATAAATACCAGATAATCAATCACATGCCAGGAGGGCGAGTCCCCCTGCCCTCGCCCCAGCATTGGGGTTTATGAGAGATACACTGTAAATAGACACTGGCTTCTTAAAAGAGGCCCCCCTCAGCATTCCAGGGACTGGCCATAATCCCAAACCCGGCCTGGCCAGCTCCTTGACCATCTCGTTTTACAGCTTTCAGCGCGAGCTTATAAAGCGCTCTGCCCTCCCCATCCCCTGCTGCAAGCTGGCCTTCCTGGTATGAAATGAAGTCAAGCTCCACAAAGTGAATGCGCACGGGGACTCTGAAAATCACTGCAAAGACAGCGGGGGCAGAGAACAAGTAGGAAATGGGGCAGGTCGCCAATAAGACCCCAATGCAGGAGGGCGGAAGGGAGCCAACCTGGACCTGGGGACATGACGAAGAATCAATAAGGGTGATATTGATGACAGTGGTAACAATTGCAGTGACAGTAGTTAGTATTGGCTCAACACTTAGTAAGCACCAAGCTCTATGGTAAGCACTTCATGTGTATCCTGTTGTCTAGTCTCAAAAATATCTCTAGGAGGTGGGCACTACTATTGCTGTGCCCATTTTACAGATAAGAAGCTGGTGGGGGGGGCTCAGAGTTCAAATAATTTCTCCAAGGTCACAGTTACAGTTAATGACAGGGAGGATGAGATTTAAACCCATGGAGATGGCTCAGGTCTAGATATGCCACCAGGTCTATGGACTTCTGCCTGGAAGGAGAAGGTAGAAATCAATCTCTATTTTTAGGTCACTCACGTGGCTCATGCCTGTAATCCCAGCACTTTAGGAGACCGAGAGGGGTGAATCAACTGAGGTCAGGCATTCGAGACCAGCCTGGCCAACATGGTGAAACTCCCATCTCTACTAAAAATACAAAAATTAGCTGAGTGTGGTGATGTACACCTATAATCTCAGCTACTTGGGATGCTGAGGCAGGAGAATCACTCAAACCCAGGAAGCAGAGGTTGTAGTGAGCTCAGATCATCACTCCAGCCTGGTTAATAGAGCAAGACTCCATCTCCCCCCAAAAAATATTATATTTATTTGTACACACACACACACACACACACACACACACACACACAC